GGTTACTGTTTTTTTAACACAAAGTACTTTGTGTTTACTGTTTTTTTAACACAAAGTGCGATAGCCCAGAAGAGCTATTAATTTCATTTTGGCATTTCATGTCGATTCCTTATAAACAGCAAATTACTTTTTAAATTGTTGCCACCAAATATTAGAGCCCTGTATTACACTTAAAGAAATTTAATAATAAAGAATCTGCATAAATGTATGTATGTTTCTCGCATTGTGATAAAACAATGGTACCTAGAGCCATCAAATTTTGAATAATGTACATCTTCGCCTGAATATGGGCATCTGGAAGCCCAAATTTGGAATTTGGAACTTGTTTTATTATCTATTTCAGATTTTGTAAGGCATTTATGAGTTTTCGATTAAGAAACTCAATGATTTTAAAGCGAGCAATGGCAACACTGCACACACACACACACGCAAAAAAATAAAAATAAATAAATAAATAAATAACATTTTTATCTTTAGCGAGTGAGACTGTGTATCGGAAATTCTAAAGATATGTTCTTTTAAAATTATTTTGCGGTATTGCTGTTGAATTGAATTTTATGGTTTAAGTGCGAAGAACTTAAATATAACTGGTAACATTAAAAAGAGATGAATATTTTTACATGAAATGAGGTAGTATGTTTCATCTCATTATTTGATCTGACAGAGAGAAATGAACTTTTTGTTCTTAAATAATTGTTTACATTGTTATGAGACTAAAAAAATTACATCAGAGTATTATTTATTGGCCCACGCAGCATAAAAATTAAAAATTTAAATTCACTTTCTACATTAGTATTTACAGCTCTTGTGAAACTTGTTTATGACGATTTTGCTTTCAGCAACTGAATTTAATCTTTAACACTTAATTCTTTACTGCTAAAATTAAAAAATTAAAAATATTGTATTTTTCAAACCATTAACATTTTGAAAATGTTTACTTTATTTACGGTTTTTACTTTTTTGGGATGCTGGATTTGGAAAAATTAATAGGAGTACTCAATTTTCTATCGTTTACATATATACAGGGCGATTCAAAATCAATATAGATATTAAAAACAGCTATAGATATTTAACTGAAAAGAATTACACAGAATGTAAAAGGAAGTTTAAAATTTTGTTTACATACTTTATAAATGTTGTATGTAACTTCCCTTCTTAACAAAGACAACATCTAAGCAGTTCTTACCATATATTCTGAAGCACATATGGAGTCGCCAATGCAAGCGCATTAGAAATGCACATTCTTTCTGCCGGGGAATTCTGAAAATTCTTTTCTTCTTACCCTGTGATTTCTTTCTATGGGATTACGTGAAAGACCTTCAGAACTCAAAATGTGCGTTTCTAATGCGCTTGCACTGGTGACTAGAGATATGCTTCAGAAAATATGGTATGACATGGACTACCGCTTAGATGCCTTTGTTACCAAAGGGAGTCATATAGAACATTAATAAAATATGTAAACAAAATTTTGAGCTTCTTCCTACATTCTGTGTAATTCTTATTGATAAATTCCTTTCAATTAAATAGTTATAGCCATTTGTAATCTATTCATTTTGAATCACTCTGTATTTGGGAAGACCTGTAAAATTTTGAAATTTAATGGAAAACTAAATAGTTAAAATATTGAATATTATCATCATGGCTTCATTTTGACTTTTATAGGCATTTTTAGAAGTCAGTAAGAAAAACAAGAAATAAAAATATTTTCTCTTTATAAGCAATGGGAAAATGCTACAAAGTTGAAACATTTTTTACATATGAATAATCAATCATTAATGTCATGTTTGACTATATTAAACCTTAAGAGTAACAATGAAATCATCAAATAATTTTTACTAAATGGTATTCTGTATCATTAAAATTAGTTTTTATATAATTAAAGATGTGTTTCATAAATGAAATGCCAATTTATACAGGATTAAGAACATAAAAATACTACTATTTAGTATTTCTTTCAAGTTTTTCCTTTAGTACTTATTTATGTTTTAAATCCTAACCTATCCATGTATTAGATATCAGAACAATTGTTTATAATGCTTTAAGTTTGCTAAAGCAATTAAAATTTAATTGAACAGAAATGTAAATGGCATAGTAAATACACAATGCATTACAGGGCTTTTTTTTAAATTATTGATAATTAGCTGTAAAAAGAACTCCTCCCTTCTAAGTTAAGAATGATAAGATGCACTTTAGTTTCTGTTTAATGACATTTAAATTCCAATGACTTCTCTGTGAAAAGTAAAATTAAGGGGTTTTCTTTTAGTAGTAACTAGTTCTAATTTATGTATCCTTTGTTATTACTGATTTAATTTTGCTGCTCAATTTACATGGTCCAAAATATTACAGACTGCCAGATATACTATATCAAATCGTGCACATTATTTTTCCAATGTGCAAAATATTTATAATATTAAATTATTAGCTCAACAAATGTACTTTTAAAATGACTGGAAAAAAATAAAATTTCTTTCATACACTTTTGGTAAATTTCACTATATCTTAAACACACCACTAGCTATGAAACAATATATTAATCAAAAAATAAATTCATGGAAATAAAATGGCCATTAATAAAGAGAAGTTTCAGAGATTGATATACAGGTAGAGTATCTATGAAGAAAACTACAGGTATATTTCTATAAACTTTATTACATAGAAATCATAAATTTGAAACAAAAAGGTAGGTGTCACTTATTACTTTTGCTATTTCTTAAGGTATATATCAGCAATTTAATTTTGAAATTTGTTCAGTTATTTGATCATTCAATAATAATTTTCAATGATTCAATTTGATCATTCAATAACATTTTCAGCGATTTTAAAATTATTTATATTTTTGATTGCAGCAATTGCTTTAAATAAAAATTCTGCAATATTAAATTCATACATTTTTAGAAAATTTATTTACTTAATGAACAACTTTTTGGTTTCTTATTTTAACTTATCACATGGAAAAAATGTGTGGATGTTCTTTAAATACCGTAAAAAAGTATGACTGTTTCATCTGCATATATTTTCTATTTTACCAGTATGTAAGTAAAAGCACAGGTATATGAATATCATATGCATTTAAAATGGTGCTTTTGCATCCGTAATGTGTATATGTTATCTGCATATAATTATAGAAATATGGCACTGAATAAAAGTATATATCTGAAAATATACTGCAGATTTCATGAAAAATGCACATATAAATGCAGTTGTACAGATTCAGTAAGATAGTTGATTCACACAATTTTTTTTTCAGCAAAAATGCACATTAATACACAGTAAAAACTACAGAAGGTTTACTTATATCTATATGCAAAGAAAAAAAAAAAAAAAAAAAAACAGGGAAAATTAACATAAATTTTTACAAAAGATATATGTGTATGCTAAGTAAAAAAATTGTGCAGATTTATGCAATTTTTCACAAAAAATATATGAAGCAAGAAATTGGGAAGATTTAGGTACATGCAATAAATATACATAAATTTTGACCAAATATATATATATATAAAATCCTTGAAATTTACGTTCATTCTACGTAACTAGTCATTCATATCAACATACGTAAATTTGACCTATAACTTTAGTATACTCTAATGTAAAAATATACATAAATATTTACTATTTTTTCGAACACATTTTATGATATTTTTATGTTCAAGTCGTAAATTTTTTATATGAAGAGCCATTCATAAATTGCATGTATTTTCTGTGTGCAATTTATGAATACATGCTGCCTGGGACATGTTTGATAATAAATGCTTGTATCCAGAATCTACTCAATTAGTACTCCTGTTGACTTTGTTATGAAACGATTCACACTAACGTGAATTTCCGTTCTTGATACATTGGTGGTGTAATGTGTTGAATGAAATTTCTTTTGACAAAGGAATAACTGAAATGGATTGAACAAATAAATTACACAGCCAAATACCTGACATGAGACCTGTAAAGAAACCCTGGAAGAGCAATTGCTTGGTGAAATCAGAGATTTCAATGCCTTGTTTGGAACACATTTCCCCACAACTCACACTGACTCCCTTATTGAGAAGACAAGCATCAATCACATGCCTTACTTCAAACATTATTTGATTCTTTATATCAGAAATCGGTATTGGTTTTCAATGCATTTGCTTTTTTGAAATTGTGCTTCCACATAATGTTTCATAATATTGTTTTGTGTCATATGTATTCAAGTTCAATTTTCAGCTTATATTTATGTATTACAATGCTAAATAACATTCTAAATAAATTTATTTTATTCAACAGTTATGGGGAAATCAGTGTTTTTGTGCATGTAAAGATAATTTTGCACACCAAAATAAATAGCACAGCTTAAATATTTGATAACAACAATAATGGAATTATATAGCCTTTTGAATAAGTACAACACAGAATTAATACTTATAATATTTCTTTAAACATGGGTATAAATTTCTAAACCAACAAGAATTTTAAAAATTTGTATTTTTGGTTTTTCAAGAAACATTATTATTTTGTAATAATCTACATGCATAAAATCAAACATATAGAAGTAAAACTTCTCTCTGATGGTTGCTTTATACAGTTTACACTTTTTTTTTTTTTTTTTTCCATCAGCTTGCTTTTTATTCTAAAATTAAAATTAATCACATATTTCATTTAGGAACTTCATTTTTGTTCACTTTATTTATTTAGGAAAAAAAAAAAAAAAACTAAGTTTTCATGAAATGATCCTTGCAGGATCACTTACATTACTTCTGCTTCAAAACAAAAACCTATTAACCCTAGTTTAGTTTTAAGTATACGTAAAATGTTTATTCAGCATCTATAGCTGAAACTACAGCTTTAATTAACTACAGCTTAGCTGAAACTACTTTGTTATGAACAATGAACATTTTAATGTGCATTTTTCAATTTTAAAGGCATTCAAAGAAATAGAATTAAATGCTTAAAGTTCCACAAGAAACAATGTTAAATTTTAAATAAAAATTTTAAAAGCCAATCTATAAAATTATAAGCAAGAAACTTACTTGAATCTAAAATATGCTCAGCTGCATCTCTTGTAATTTTCCCATGGAACCATGAAATACTTTCATCGATGGAAGTACGAGAAGCCGATTTATTCAATGGAGGCAAGGGCTGATTCAAGGTATCTTCAACATCCATTTCTGCAGTAAAGGCATTACATACCTCTTCAGCTTTCTCCAAGCAACACTGGGAATATAGATGCTTTATTATTAATATAACCTAAATAAATCTTAAGTATAACAAATGCCAGAATAACATATTTTTGAAAAAGCAGAGGATGCCCAGTCAAAAGACGAAATAGTGCCATGGCTACAGGACACGGAAAATTTGGACTAAGTGGCTTTGAACTAGGTGAGACACTCCCAGGCCTTTCCCTTAACTTCATTTGACAGGTAGGAGGCAAACCTTCTCTTAAATTCTAATTTAATTAGAAGTTTTGAAGAATTAAAAGTCATACGTGGTTTGTTGAAGTCATACATGGTTTGTTGAATAGTCATTCCTTTCTTTGCCAGAAAATTGGCTCTTTCATTTCCTGTATATACATGTAATAATTTAGATGCTGGTGACAAAGATGTATGACGACAAATCCTGGATGTTATATGAAGAAGGTAGTCATTCAAGTGAGTGTAACACTTTTTATTTCTTGATAAAACAATGCTTGACATTAACATGCACAGCTAAATAGTTACAAGACATGCATCTATTCTTGAATGGCTAATTACATTGGTACTTTTTACATTCTTGCAATATATTTGAAGAACGGAAGTCCGTCAACAGATAGCAAGTCAGCAGGACAAAAAAAAATGAAGGCAAAATTTGAAAATTAGAAGCTAACGTTAAAAATGATTTTTTTTTTTTTTCTTCATCCCAGTCGACTAATTAAGGCTTTAGCTCACAAACTTCAGTATTACTTTTTCTGGAAGCATTACATAAGTACCTGTATCATTAACATTATATAAGAATCATGTGACAATTTTGAAATTATTCTATTTAAAGAGGGGTAGTCTATTTTTAGGGGTAACTCTTGGATTATCGCTAGTTTCATTTATTGGCAAGTTGTTGTTTCAGTTATGGTAACCTGAGTATTTTACCGTGTATAATTTGGAAATCCTATCATGACATAATTGATTGTAATGTATGATCACAGTGAATTTGATTGCTGAGAAAATATTTCTCAGGGCTTATTTACGAGATAGTTGTCAGTTAGGAAGTATGTTGCTTATTTTGCACTTTACATTGTAAAATGGTTGCCATTGATAAGAATAATCTGGAGTTTCTGTACAATTTGTAATGAATTGAAAGGAAAGCATTAATTGACTGCTGTGTAAATGAAGGTTTAAACATAATTCAACAGAATATCTTAAATGAAATAACGATCATATCCAATTGCTGGAAGTCATACGATTGTCTTTCTGATAATGGCTTTGTTCATCTCTTAGTATATTACACAGTGACATTTAGGGATTCAGAAAGTTTTTGAGCAACCTGAATGGATTCTGTGACTGCACTGCAGTGTTACGTCAGTAAGAGCGGTTTTCAAGAACATTTGGCTGAAGGTTTTCATCAATGTGTGCTGGTGCTGATACTTGATTACCCTTTTAAATTATCAGGTTTTTTTTTTTTTTTTTTTTGAATGTAGGTAGGATTAAATTATTTTTTCGTATGACTGTTTTTGGAATTTAAGAGTAAGAGTTTTTCAAATTTTACTGGATTTTTTTAAATGATTTTTAGAATATCTTTATAATGTATTAATTCAAAGAAAATAATTTTTATCACAGGTTCTTGACATTTGCTGGAGCTGATTTTTCCTCACTTAGTTTTGTTACTTAGTTTAGTCACTTAGTCACTTAGTTCTTTCTTGTGTTTGCAATTAGAATCACAGATCTTTTCTAAATTTAATAATTATGTCCTCTAATGAAACTCCTACTGATAAATTTCCAACTGAAAATATAGCAGCTATGCAGGTAACACATGTTTTGATAAAATTACCACCTTTTTGGCAAACAAGCCCTGCATTATGGTTCATTAGACTGGAATCACAGCTTCTTTTCCATTATGACTTTGGATTTAACAAAATTTAACCATGTTGTGGATTCTGATATACCTATTCTATGAGTGACATCATTTTAAAACCTCCCGCAAGTGCAAAATATGATATTCTAAAACAAAAACTGACATTCTGAAAGTGAAACTTAAAAATTCATACTCTGTTGTAAGTTTTTAAGTTTAAATTTACAATTGCACCTTTATTTGGTTATTACTCGTTATGGATGTAAATCAGCCAATTTCGGGTGTTGATTTCCTTAAAAAATATGAATTACTCGTTGATGCTGCAAGTAATGTCATGTAGAAGTGTTACTGAAGAAGTTATTGCTCTTGCAATGTCAGAGCATCTGATCTTGCACCTCGTAACAGCTCAAAGAGTATGACTTGTGAGGGATCACATACTTAAAATTTCTTATCATTGTGTGGTATGCCATAATGTTTTCTCCTCAATTTTATACTTCTCTACCTATGCCGTTTATGTCTTACAAGCATTTTTGAAAATATCTGCAGTATTTTCCTCTCATGACCTAGTAATGCTCCAGACAGTAGATTTTATATTACAATATTTTGAGAATTTTAGGATGGTCTTACTGCTGCATCAGTTTTCAAAAGGCTTCTTCAAAACTGCATTTCAGTGCACGTGAAATTCCAATATTCGTTGGTTAATTGATGGATATAGAGTTTGAAGGAAAGACAAAAATGCAGATATTTTCTTTTATTATTACTTTGGTAAGATAACAATAATAATAATAGACTACGCAAAATAAGATAAATTAAATCAGAAAGTTATGAAAAGTGAAATTCATAGTGCTAACTGAGCTTAAGTTTATCAGAAGTTTATTCTTTCTCTTTTTTCACTGCTACATAAGAGAAGGGGGGAGGAAACCAGTATGTGCAACATTCCATTCCAAACAAAAATTGGTTCTTGAAATTCACTTATTGTGTACAGTGTTAGATAAGACAGAAAAATGCTGTCTCCCCTTCCACACACAATCTTTCAACAGCTGAAAATGTGACTCGCTACCCAACAGGTGTTTAGAGCCAAAACAACATGAGGGATGAAGGTGAATATTATAAAAAGTAATATTCTTCAGGAGTGGCAAAGACCTCAGCATATTGGAACAAAAATCAATTAATGGCACACTTGATTTTGCTTGAGTATCATATTATCTGCTCCTACATTGTGTGAGAATAAAAGTACAATTTAATATATATATATATATATATATAATATATATATATATATATATAATAGATAAATAAATATAAAGGAGGTCTGGATACAAGATCATTCTGGTTATTAGACAGTTTGTAATGCAAGTTTCTTGTAATAAACAATTTTGTGTCATAAACAAAAAAGAAAACCTAAAAGCCTAAACCTAATCTTTAATCTGTTAAAAGACCTTTAACAGATTAAAGATCACATGCATAATATTTCTGAAGTTACAAAACAAAACAAAACAAAAAAATAAATCTATGTTGTATAATCTTATAGATAAAACTCTTAAAAAACAGCAATCATATAAACAAACTAACAGAAATGCATCAAAGCTAATAAAATACATTTTCTCATGTTATTAAATCATCTGCACATGCTGAAACTATATTGGTTGATCTTTACATTATGGTAACTTGGCGATTTTTTGGCGAAAATTTGCCGACCAACTCTCCTACAGCAACCCTCCATTTTTTTTCCCCGACGCCATTTTGTCTTCACGAAGTAAAGACATGTTTCTTTTCTTTTTATCTCCTGAACACTTCTTCCAACAATCTACTAGCCGAATTACACTTATGCTAGAAATTTTATCAAACAAAACTGCTTAATCATGACAAATATTCACTGCAAAATTGGGAAAAAGTGCACAATACCATACTCCTTACGCGTTTTTCAAAATAACACATACACATAAACCATGTACACGCCGACTTATTTTTACTTAAAAAAACATCCCAGAATTGCACAAAAATGGCATTGCGCACACTCTTCACTATATCCATGTACACTGCTTTTTTTCTCATAAATTAGAAAAATTTCACGAAAATACATGACAATTTTCTCAATCTTTAAACCCGGTAAAAAGAATATATATGAAATTACCTGATCGTGAAAAAGTATTTATCCTTTCCAAATATGAACATTTCCACATATAAAATAAATAAATATCCAAAAACTTTTACCTCTAAATCATCTATTACATTATACACGTCACCAACGAATTCATACCGCAAGCATTACAACTACTTAGTATCAAATATTTAAATTATTTCCATGCACGTTTACTTTCAACTTAAACGTATACCAAATTCCTACAAACATAAAATTCACAAAAATAACTATCATTTCATTAAAATAAATTAAATTCAAAAACACTACTTAAAATATAAATGAGCACATACATTAAATTAATAAAAATTACCTTACAATCCTAATTACTTTAAACTAATCATTGCTAATAACAATTTTCCCAATAATACCAAATTCGGTTGATCTTTACAATATGGTAACTGGTAGTTTGGCGACATTTTGGAGGCGATAAAGGTTACTACCTGGGACTTTGGTAATAATGTGAGCAGTACTCAGTTCCGATTACGCATTATTTTGTGTGAGGGAAATGAGAGATCATGGGATATGTCATGTGATATTAATGGACGAATTACGGTTCTTTAATCGGAAAAGGGGGAAAATCGGGAAAAAATCTGGAAATTTTGTATTTGGTTTATTCTGTGTTGTGTGAAACAGTGTTCGTGAATTTTTGGATCCCATGGCCGTAACTAAAGAAAAGTTTATCGGACACGTAATCAAGATTCTGAAGAAGATTAGGTAAGTTAGTATTTTTAATTACTTGAGGATATTATTTTTTATGCATTGTGTCTAAATGTAAGGTGGAAGTAAAGGAATTTGGGATTATTGGGAAAATTGTTATTAGCAATGATTTAGTTTAAAGTAATTAGGATTGTAAGGTAATTTTATTAATTTAATGTATGTGCTCATTTATATTTAAGTAGTGTTTTTGAATTTAATTATATTTTAATTAAATGATAGTTATTTTGTGAATTTTATGTTTGTAGGAATTTGGTATACGTTAATCAGGTAATTTCATATATGTTCTTTTTATCCGGGTTTAAAGATTGAGAAAATT